ATATATATATATATATATATATATATATATATATATATATATATATATATACATATATATATGTATGTACATATATATATATATATATATATATATATATATATATATATATATATATGTATGTACATTATTATTATGATTATGATTATTATTAATATTATTATTATTATTTTTATTATTATTATTATTATCATTATTTCTGTTATTATTATTATTATTATCATTATTTTTACACACATACATAGACACAAACACATACATGTACACATTTACACACATACAGATATAAACGCATAAACAAACAAGCAAAAACACCCACCAATAAACAAACAAACACATACAACAAACAAACACACGCACACAAATAATCCAAAACACTCACGCAAATAAACAATCAAACAAACAAACACTCACACACAAACAAGCAAACAAACACACACAAACAAGCAAACAAACAAAGCACTCACACACAAACAAACAAAAACTCACACACAAACAAACAATCACAAACAAACAAACAAACATACACGCACAAACAAACAATCACACACAAACAAACAATCACACACAAACAAACACACAAACAAACAAACACTTACGCACAAACAAACAAACAAAAACTCACACAAACAAACAAACAAACAAACACTCACACACAAACAAACAAACAAACACTCACACGCACAAACAAACAAACAAACACACTATACTTACGCATGTGCACGCACCCCCACACCCACTTTCTCTCTGTACACACACGCTGCCACCTCGCGCACATCTCCATGCTGTTTCGTCACACTGACACTGAAATAATTATAACTTCGGTTTCTGTGGCCATCAATCCTTGACAGCAACCCCCCCACCCCCCACCTCCCAACCCCTCCCTCCCTATCTCCTTCTTCTCCTCTCTTTTTCCTTTTTTTCTCTCTCTTTCTCCTTTTTTTCTCTTTTTCTCCTTTTTTTTCTCTCTCTTTCTCCTTTTTTTTTTCTCTCTTTTTCTCATTTTTTCTCCTCTTTTTTTCCTCTCTGTTTCTCATGTTTCCCTTTCTCTTTCACCTCTCTTTCCTCTTTTTTATTGATCTCTCTTTATCCTCTATTTTCTCCTGTTTTTTTCTTTCTCTCTTTTTATGATATCTTTTCTTCTTTTTTCGTTAATTTTTTCCTTCTTCTCCTTTTCCTCTCTCTTTTTTTATCGCTTTCTCCTTCTCTTCTTTTTTACTTTTTAACTGTTTTTTTTTCTTTTTTTACACTCTCTTTTCTTCTTCCTCTTTCTATTTCCTCTATTTTGAGCTCCCTTTCTCCTCTTCTTTCCTCTTTCTTTTTCCTTTTATTTTCTTATCTCTTTCTCTTCGTTTCTTCTCCGTCTTTCTTCTCCTTTCCTCTTTTCTTCTTTTTCCCTTCGACCTCTTCTGTTTCTGTTTCCCCTTTCTCAGTTTTTTTCTTACCGCCTCCCCCTTTCCTATCCCTTTCCCTTTTTCTCTTCCTTTCATTTTCCTTCATTCTGCAATTCCTCTTCCACCTTCTACACTGTCTTCTTCTTTTTCTATTTTTTTCTAATTTTTCTTCCCTTACTTTTTATTTATTTTTTTCTTTTCCTTCTCCTTTTCTTCCACTTCTTCTCCTTCTCCTTCCCTCTTCTTCCTCCTCCCCTTCTCCCTCTTCCTCTTCTTCTCTTTCTCCTTCTTCTCCCTCCTTTCGTCTTCCCTACTCCCCCTCCTCCCATTCTCCTCCTCCTTCCTCCCCCCTCCCCCCCCTGCCTCCCTCCTTCATCTCCTCCTCACCCCTTTCTCCTTCCTCCCCCTCCTCCCTCTCCCTCCTTTCCTCTTCCCTTCCTCCCTCCTTCTTCTCCTCTTCCACCCCTTCTCCCTCCTCCTCTTTTTCTCCTTCCCTTCTCTCTCCTCCCCCTTCTTCACTTTCTTCCTCCCTCCCTCCCTCCCCCTCCCCTCATGTCAGGCGATGCGGTCATGTGGTCTTGCATGAGATTATGTTGTTTCCTTCTTTCCTTGTGTTCATTCTTAAGTCTTTTTGTTATTATTGAGTGTTCTTGTTTTTTCTTATATATATCAAATTTGAATTATAGGTGTGAGCAAGTTGGTTTATACACACATATGCACACACACAGACACACATACACACACACATATATGAATATATACATAAAGAGATAGATAGATAGATAGATAGATAGAGAGAGAGAGAGAGAGAGAGAGAGAGAGAGAGAGAGAGAGAGAGAGAGAGAGAGAGAGACTTGCTTACATACATACATACATATATATATACATACACACACACATACATGCGTGTGTGTGTGGGGGGGGTGTATATGTATATATAAATATATATATATATATATATATATATATATATATATATATATATATATATATATATATATATATATGCAGGCAGATAGCGAGAGAGATAGAGAGCGAGATAGAGAGAGAGAGACAACCAGACAAAGACAGAGAGAGAGATAGAAACAAATAGAGAGAGATAAAAACAGACAGACAGATAGTCACGGAGCCAAAGAAAGGTAGAGAATCTTATCCTATCACTGAATTTTAAGTGTAAGTTAGTTTCAGCACATTATTTGCATATTTATAGTCAGATTTCAAAGGAATCTACACTAAGGTATTTGACTAATTCTGGTATAATGTTGAACACTATTAATAAACACTGTGATAGAATATGCTTCATACTATATACTAGACTAAATCTATGTAATTGATGCTATATTGCTATACTATACTATGTGTATTATGGAAATTCATGTTGTTATAATTATTATTACCAGCATCGCCACTGTTATCACCGTCTTCATCATTGTTGTAGTTATCATTGACATTGTTACTATTATTACTGTCTTTTACCTTATCTATTATTATTATTATTGTAATTATTATAGTTATTATCATCATTATCATTATCATTATTATTATCATTATCATAATTATTATTGATATAATCATCATTATTACTATTTTCATCATTACTATTATTATTAATATTGTTTTTATTATGATTATTATTATTTTATTACTATTATCACCATTAAAATCATTATTACCTTTATCATTAGTAACATCATTATTATTATTTTCATCATCATAATTACTATTATTATAATTGCTGTTGTTATTATTATTATCGTTATTACCATTTTTTATTATCATAATTTTACTATTTACTATTATCATAATTATTTTGTTTATTACAATTAGCATTGGCATTAGTATTAGCATTGATATTATTATCATCATTGTTGCTGTTGTTGTTACTGCCGATGGCGCTGTTATTGTTATGTTATATTTGTTCTCATTAATAATAACATTGCTATAACTATTATCTTCTTCATTTATATACAACACGTCATCTATATAATAATTTAAAAAAATGAAAACCTTTCATATTAAACACACACATCTTAACTTACAAACAAAGAGAAAGAACAGCTTTCCCTCATCTCCACGACAAAGAAAACAAAAACACAGAATATATGTCCTTGCCCGTCTCTATCTCACGAGGAAAGTTCTCAAACCCACGTGAAAGATAGGGACAAGACCCTTAAAACGTAAACAAAAACAAAAAAGAAACAAAAGAAAGTCGGCAAGCGTGTAGCGGAACGTCCCTGATACTGCAAAGAAAACCGACAGAGAGAGAGAGAGAAGGGGGGGAGGGGGAAAGGGTGTAAGAAGAGAGGAAGAGGAAGAGGAGGAGTTAAGTGTGAAATAAGGTAAGGAAGTATGTACATGTATGTGTGTATGTCCGTGGGTATGTGTATATATAGCGTCCCCATCGCTAATATCTTCGTCACTTGTCCTCTGTGTGAGATAGAAGACACACCAGCTATTCAACATGTTTATTAAGGTGAGACTGATGCATTTAAGGTAAATATAACTGGTATACAAATGGGGGGGGGGCAGTTATTCCCTACCCCCACCAACCCCCTACTTAAGGACTTACACCCCCTATAAATCTTATAGGCATTGTAAAACATATCACTTTGTCCAGAAGCTATATAAATCACTAAATCAATCACTTTGCTATAGATTTATGGCTTTCAGTTTATATTATCGTCTTTTATCATGTAAAGTTTTCTAGTAATACCAGTGATACAACACATATCAGGGTGAAACTTGCGCATACAAACATTGTCTATACGTACATAATAATACTTGAAAATCTCTCGTTTTATAACTGTAATATCAGACACACACACACGCGCGCGCGCGCGCGCGCACCTAGCAATAGATGTCTGAGCATCTTCCCAGTGCTATAAACAAATACTTTCTCCCAAATCTGTTTCAAAACCACGTTCGAACTTTCGTCTCGATTAAGTAACGCTTGAGAAATTGAAAGATTCAATGATTTATTTCTCACATTAACGAATTTCGTAATTTGTCTATTAAAGATGCAATTTTAATGGACAATTTTATATGATATATGATATTAGGATATATGATTTATATGATATTTTGATATTAGATCGTATTTGCTGTATATTTTTGTATATCTGTTTATCACCTTCGAGGAATATGATGTTTCGAGTCGAGTTTCGAAAGATTAGATGTTTCTTTTTCTTTCAAGCTGAGAAAATACTAGTATTTCCCTTATTTTCTTTTTCTCTCTCTCTTCATCATTTATCATTTACCTTTCTTTATGGAAAGGAGGAGGAAGGGTTTAGAATATTTATCTGTGTCATTGGTTGGTGGGTCTTAAAGCTATTATTATCTTAATTTCACTTTTTTCAAACGCTTTTCCATTCTCTTTTGCCACATCTAAAGGAGGAGACACAAAGTTTTACCATTTTAATTTACCCATATTCCAGTTTTCTTTCATTTCTCGTTTTCACTCTTTTCCCGTTTTCTTAAAATTCCGTTTCAATCTGATTTCCCACTTTCTTTGGTTTTTTCACTTATTTTACGTTTTCTTTCACTTCCGATTCAATCTCATATCCCATTTTCTCTCATTTTCCGTTTTTTCTCTCTCCTTTATATCAGAATATCAGTATCATCCTGTGTGTCGTGGGGATTGTATTAGGCAATGACGCTCCATTGTACCCTGCCCCTGTACCCTATAAACATAATGAGTACTTGGAGGTAAGGAATGCATTGTTTTATTCAGATATTATGTATATTAGGATAATAATAATGGTGATTTTTTTAAAGAGGAAGAAGAGGAGGATATTAGTGATGTTGGTTGTGGTAATGATGTTGATTAATTTTGATGATATTAGATGGTTATCGTTTTTGTAGGTATTGAAGATATAATAAGATGATCCTGATAGTAAAATTAACATTTATGAAAATAGTAATAATGATCACAATATCAACAATTTGGGAGACATTAATAACAACGATAATGATAATGATGGACAACAATAACAACAAAAATAAGGAATTTCCATTATAACTACAAGAATAACAAACGAATCTCTACGTGTCTCTCTCCCTCCCCTTCCCCCCACCTCCTCCACCCCGCAACCCCTCTACCCCTTCCCCCCAACCCCTTCCACACAACTCCTCCCCCAACGCCCCTTTCTCACAACCCCTCCCCCAACCCCCCTTTCTCACAATCCCTCCCCCCCTCAACCCCTTCCTCACAAACCCTCCCCCTTTCTCACAACCCCTCCCCCCCTCAACCCCTCCCCCCAAAAAAAAATCCCCCCCAAAACCCCTTTCCTCACAACCCCTCCCCCCCTCAACCCTTTTCCTCACAACCATCCCCCCCTCAACCCCTTTCTCACAACCCCTTCCCCCAAACCTCTCCCCCCACAACCCCTTCCTCACAACCCTCCCCCCCCCAACACAACCCTACAGACCCACCCCCAATACAGCTACAGCTACGGCGTGCAGGACGACCTTTCGGGAAACAACTTCGGCCACACTGAGTCCCGCGACGGCTTCAAGACCGAGGGCAGCTACTTCGTCAACCTCCCCGACGGCCGCAAGCAGATCGTGACCTACGCTGACCACGGGGAGGGACTGGTAGCCGAGGTCACCTACGAGGGCGAGGCTTACTACCCGGAATATAGCCCCGCGCAGAAGCCTGGGGGTCTACCTGCCTACGGGCCTCCTCCTCCTCCAGGTGGTGGGAGGTCTTAGAGCGGTTTCATTTCTTTATTTTTCGTTTTTTTTTTCATCGTTTTCCGGATTTCTTTCGTTATTATTATTATTTTTGTTTATTTATTTTTTGTCTCCTTGATTGTTCTTGTTTTGTTTTTGTCTTCCTTATTGATCTTCCTCATTTTTTCATTTACTTTGACCTTCATTTTGTTCCTCACTTACTTTGTTCCTTTTAATATTTTTTCTACTTGTCTTCATTTTCTTTCTGGTTCTTCTTTTATTTTTTTCCCCCCGTTTTCTTATTCTTCTTCATCACATCTTCCTCATCTCTTGCTTTTCCATAGTTTTTATCTTTTCTCCTTTCCTCTCCCATTCATCTTCTTCGCTTATTTCATTCTCGCATCTTTTACCTTATCTTGCGTTCTTATCAAAAACAACAACAGCGATAATAATAATAATAATAATAAAGAGATGGATAGCATGTAACTGACGTTTGTTTTCTTTCCACGTAAGAAATTTGAATATATGTTCTTTCACTTTCATTTGCATATTAACTGTAGCAATCTTAAATAATTTATTGAAATTACACTTAATGATTATATTCTCTGTGTCTAGAGAAGATGTTAGTTGTAAAGCTGTTATTATAAGTCACTGAATTCAGCAATCACTGTATAATATAAATATGTTTTGTGAAATGTTAGTAACATTTTTTATGGACATTGATACCATTTGTGGATTTTTAGTTCAGAACTGAATAATCGATTCTTTATCATGATGAGTGATATGTAAATTAATTCATAATCTGATTATTTGGGTTAAAAAAAAAAAGGAAAAAAGGAAAATTATGTTGCTGGTAATAATAATTATGATGCAGAAACAACAGCAAACGGAAAATTAAGATTGACAGAATGATAATAACATAACGATGGAAATGTTATGGTTTATGAAGATGTTGCAATATGAACTATAGTAAAAATAATGAAAAAATATATATAGCAATTATTGTAATGATGGCAACATACCATCACAAATATAGAAGACGAAATAAAAGAAAAACAAACAAGAAACAAACACAAATCCAAACAACAAAAACAAAAACATCCTAACTAAGAAAACAAAAACAAAAAAAACAACAACCGAACACTCAAACAAGACCCGCATCGGAGCAACATCAAAGAATAGTAACGGCGTAATCTTCATTCTGAGTGGCGAAAGTCATAGTCGAGGGCGTGTCTGTTTATTCAAGTCAATTACTCGACCTTGAATTTTCGTTGGGTAATGCTTAAGGGAGAAAAGACTTAACGAGGGATGGAGTTTATGTGTGAAATTGCTCGTTTGGCGATGGCGGTGCGCGTTAAAAGGAGTTTAATGATGTGCTCTTGACGTGGTGTGAGTGACAAGCGCTCGGGGAAGGAGGGAAGGCGATTTATGTGTTATGTGTTGAAAGGAGGGAGGAAGGACTGTGTGTGTGTGTGTGTGTGTGTGTGTGTGTGTGTGTGTGTGTGTGTGTGTGTGTGTGTGTGTGTGTGTGTGTGTGTGTGCTCTTTATGTATATATGAGTGTTTGTGTGTGTGTTTGAGTGTGTGTGTGTGTGTGTGTGTGCGTGTGGTCTTTATGTATTTATTAGTGTATATGTGTGTGTGTGTGGTCTTTATGTATTAATGTGAGTGTGTATTTAAATATGTGTGTGTGTGTGTGTGCTCTTTCTGTATATCTGAGTGTGTTTGTATATATATGCGTGTGTGCGTGTGCTATTTTTGTGTCTATGATTGTGCATATATTTATGTGTGTGTGAATATATGTGTGTATTGTGAGCGTATACATATACGTACGTTTGTGTGCCGGCAGGTATATATGCCTTCGCACATGAGAATGTACAATTACACACCTCAGTGATATGATGATTATAATTACACGCCGTAGGTTACTATTATAGTGGGTCACAAATTGTAAATTATAAACTGTGCTCAATACATGACTTTCGTATGCCATGAAGAAACCGTTTTCCGAGAGTTAAAATATTAGTGGTCATGTTACAATCCTTTCACATACATTCATACATTACTGTTATCTTTAATATGATTTATATACATTTATATGTATATGTATGTATATGTATGTGTATATGTATATATGTGTGTGTGTGTATGTATATGTATGTGTATATGTATATGTGTGTGTGTGTATGTATATATTATGTATATATATGTGTGTGCGTGTGTAAGTATTTAGTTATATGTATACATATACATATACGTATACACACACACACACACACACACACACACACACACACACACACACACATATATATATATATATATATATATATATATATATATATATATATATATACAGTATACACACACACATGAAGCAAAATTGATATTAAGAAAGGAATTCAGTCATGCAAGGGAGGTACTACCCAGAACTAAGGGACGTCTTCACTCTTTACTGTAAGTCTTCAGGCGTCAAACGAGCTTAGTGTGCATGATGAAGATAATGGTAGTAATGGTGGTAATAATAATGATTATAATAATAAAGACAAATATAATAATAATGATAATAGTAATAATAATAATGGTGGTAATGGTGATAATAACAGTAATGATACTAATACTAATGATATCTATATCACTAGGATTATCATTATTATTATCGATTTAATTAATATCATTATCATTATTATTATTTTCATTGTTATCATTATTAATAGTAATACTATTGTTATTACTGTTATTATTATAATTATTATTATCCTCATCAGCATCAGCATCATTATTGTTGGTGATGATACTGAAACTGTTATTATTGTCATTATCACTATTTTATCCTTTTGTTATCATTATCATTATCTTCCTTATCCTATTTTTTGCTATTGCTATTGCTGCTGTTATTCATATCATCACCATTATCCTCACCATCATCATTAATGAGTACTAACAAATCCATCTCTATTATTACTGCAATTACTATTATCACTCTATTCACCATCACCACCATCACCATCATCATGAATATCCTCCTCTTCATTATAACCTCACCATCGCCGTGCTAGTTGTATATACACTTTCATTCACCATTCATTCATCTCCCCTTCCCTTGGTATATTTAGTGTGTTTATAGGACACGAGATCAGGGCCCAGATTTGGCTAAAACCGCCACCGTTGATAATGATACTGATGGTTTGAAATTGAGATATAAATAGGCAACTGGGAACTTTTATTTTTTTGTTATTGTTGTTGTTTTTGGTGATGGTGATGGTGGTAATGTTGGTGTTGTTATGTTTATCATCACCATCATCAGCATTATAATTCTTAGTGTTATTTTCATATTTATTTTTATTTTCTTTATCTTTTTATCATTAAGTATTTGATGTTATGAATGATTTTAACAAACATCATAATCACATTAAGTACTAACATAATCAACACTAACAAGCATTTTATATCACAATCTGTATACAGATATACTTTTATCACAATAACCACGTTCAACACGGGAAATAAATATCAATAACTCTTCTAATATCAATAAAAAACAACAACTTCATTACCATTCTCGACTTAACCAAAGTCCAGACAACCTCAAGAAGAGAAAGGGCTACGTACACACACACGTATACACTCACACACACACACACAGATACACGCAATCACATATAAATATAGGGAAGCATCGACCACTAACCCTCACACAGTAACCATGTACGAATTCCTCTTTGTGTTCAGTGAAGACATCTCATTCGTGAAGTTTAATGATGTGTTGGACTGACATCAGGGAATATTCTTAAATGTTTAGTGTACTTTTGTAATTGAGGTTTTATGGGGTCTAGTTTGGGCAGTTTGTATGGGTTGGCGTGTTAACTTGTGGTGGTTAACGTGGGTGTGGTTTTGATACGATGCTGGAGGGAATACTTGAAGCTTGTCTCTCAC